GAAGGCGGGGTGGGGGACGCCGAAGGCCAGGCCAGAGGAGGCCCGGGCAGGAAGCAGATCTCCTCTCGCGCTCCGGCGAGGGGATCCCAGGAAGCCAGCGGGATCTAGAGCACGGGAGAGAAGACCCGCGACCTCCCAACTCCCCCCCCCCACCCCCAGCCCCGCTTACCTTGGCCGCCAAACGCTGCTCGGGGCGACTTGTCCGGCGGGCGGTGGATCTCCTGCGGGATCTACCACGCCCGGACTACTCACTGCAGCGGATCAGCCGGGGAGCCCGCGGGGTCCTAGCGCCTCTTCGCCTCCACGCAAGCCTTTTGCAAGCGGGCGCCCTCCAGAGGCTCTCCGCTCCTCCGCCCCCCCCCCGACTGTCCCGGACATCATTGCTGGGGGGCCGGGGGGGCTATGCCCGACCTAAACTCGGCCCGAGACGGGTTGCAAAGCTGTGGAACAGACCGCAAACGAACAGGACCAGCTGCTTGATTGACGCATTTCTTTAATTACTTAATTAAAGACCCCGTTAATCCCTCCTCCAGGGTCCAGCGCTGGTGGGCTCGAAGCGGTGAGGCAGGTCCTCAAGTTACGACCACAACCCAGCCCAAAACTGATGTTGCTAAGTCAGTGTTTCTCAACCTTGACAATTTTAAGGCATGTGGACTTCAATTCCCAGAATTCCACAGCCAGCATTGCTGGCTGTGGAATTCTGGGAGTTGAAGTCCACATGCCTTAAAATTGTCAAGGTTGAGAAACACTGTGCTAAGTGAAAAATTTGTTAAGCGTTTGCCCCACTTTACAACTTTTCTTGCCACCGTTGTTAAGGGAATCGTTGCATCTGTTAAGTCGGTAACATGGTTAAGTGAGTCTGGATTCCCCCGTTGACTTGGCAGGCCACAAAAGCAGATCACACAACTTTTAGACACTGCGTCTGTCATAAATAGGAGTCAAGCATCTAAATTTTGGATCACGGGACCACGAGGAATGCTACAGCGGTTGTGAGTGCGAAAAACAGTCCTAAGTCACTTTTCTCAGTGCCGTCGTAACTTTGAAAGGTCACTAAATGAACCCTTTTGAGGGGAGGACTGTCTGAAATACCGAGTGAAAAAAACTAGCGAGCATTCGGGGGCCCCTTGACATCAGGTTAGCCCAGCCATACTTAGCTGGTCGGAGGGAAGCAAAGTGGGCGAGAGCTGAGTTCGAAACGTGCATCGGAGGGTCATGCCCAATTTTATGGGGGCCACAAGGAGCCTATCTGGCACCTTTGAGGCCCCAGACCCCATCACAATGGAGGCCACAACTCCGCTTTTGCACCAGCCATCGGGCACAAAGAAGGCTCCACACATCGCTGCCCCTTTGCAGCCAGGCACGTCGGTGGGCGGCCAGGGGGTCCCGGCTGAATGGGCAATTGGGATGCACCCACCATGGGGGGGGCATCAAAGGTGACCACTGCCTGGGCAGAAGCGTTGCAATTTAAGCCAGGGCACTCCTGAGCAGGTGCAGAGCACCTGGCTGCTTACACCAGGGTTTCTCAAACTGGGTAACTTGAAGAGGGATGGACTCTTAACTCCCAGAATTCCCCAGGCAGCACGCTAAGGAATTTGAAGAGCGGTGGAATTCTGGGAGTTGCAGTCCAGCCTCTTCAAGCCGAGCTCAGCCGAGGGGGGCGTGGCCTCCTCTGCCCCGCCCCCCGGGCCTTCGCCGCGCCCGCCCTCGCCCCGCCCCCAGGGCCACGTGACGCGCAGGCCGGAAGAGGATGGCGGCGGCGGCGGGCGGNGGCTCCCGCCGGGGCTGCCGCTGCTGCTGCCGCTGCTGCTGGCCGGGGCGGCGCTGGGTCCGGGGCCGGCCGGCGGAGCTGCATCGGAGCCGGGCCGCTGGAGCCGGACGGCCGGCGGGGTGAGCGCGGGGGCGGGGCCTATGGCGTCACCGGGAGGGGAGGGGGCGTCGGGGGGATCCCCGGGAGACCCCCCCCCCGCAGCCTCCGCCGCCCCCACATCCTGCACGGCGCCTGGCCCGGGAGAATGGGCAGGGTGGTGTGGCCGGGCGGCCCGAGGGGGGCCCCGGCTCGCTTCCCTCCCACCAGGTCCACCCCAGCTAGGCTAGATGGCCTCGGGGTGCCCCCTGCCTTCAAAGGGGCCGCCTGGTCGGGGTGGACAGCCGGGAGGACCTCTGGCCGGCCTTCCAAGGAGCTGCCCTGGGAGGGTCTGCGTCCTCTCTCTGCCCCCCCCCCAACGGGGGCTGGGGTCCCTCTCTCTGCCATTGTTGGATGGTTACCCCTCACCCACGCTCCCCCCCCCGCCAAAGACCCCAGCAGCCTCCCATAGCAATTGCTTTCACAGGGGCGACAGACAACTTTTTTTTTTATGAATGGGGGTGGGCACACAGGTGGTCCTCGACTTACGACCACAATAGAGTTTCACTTGCTAAACAAAGTGGTGCGTAAGGGAGTTGCGCCTAATTTTATGACCTATTTTTGCCACGGTTGTTAAGCAAACCAGTGCTGTTGTTAAATGAATCGTATGATGGTTAAGCGAATCTGGCTTCCCCTATTGACCTTGCTTGTGGGAAGCCAGCTGGGAAGGTGGCAAATGGCAATAACTTAACAACTGGGTCTCCTGCTCAAGCAGGGGGTTGGACTAGAAGACCTCCGAAGGTCCCTTCCAACTCTGCTATTCTGCACTCATCTGTTGCCATTGGAGAAAGTTATTTGCATTTATTTCCTCTTTTTACCTTAGTGTGGTCAAACCAGTGTGGGAACTGTTTGCCCTACTTTCTCTTGGTTGGTGAGAAATAACTTGCAATCTTGAGCAGGAAAAAGCACCGTCTGTGGCTAGTGAAAATCCCTCGCTGCTTTTTCCAGCCACCAACAGTCAAATCAGAGAGGGCCCAGCCAGTGAGCGGGGTCTGACTCCCCCGCTCACTGTTAACCATGATAGCTTATCAGGATGCATGAATCCGATAATAAGAACTCTTGGTTTGATGACCTTTGTAACACGCCTCTGCAACCGGACATTTTTATGGTTCAGATTGTAACCTGCCAGGAATCTCTCAACTACAGCAGGTTAAAATAAAAGTTGAGTGAATAAAATAATAGGCGTTGGCTATCAGCCGGTAAGGCAGACCGGCAGTGAGAAGAATTCCTGGGTTTAGTCTGCCTTACATCATTTCCACTGAAAGTTTCTTTGTCCAGAGGAAATCTCTGGGTATATCCTGAGAAAGAAAGTTATTCCGTGGTATTCTAGATGGACTTTAGGAACAGGATGGATTTGAACTCAAGCCCTTTGTGGCCAACCCTTTGTGCTGTTCTTGCCTTGCAGAACCAGGGAGAGAAGCTGTTTGTCTTCTCCAAGACGATGTTTAAAGGGACTTGGATTATCCTCAAGTGTAAGTACTGAGCCTCCTGCAAGCCGGATAATTAATTTGAAATTTGCACTAGCTGCGGGTTGCAGGATTTATATATATATATATATTTATACTGACAGTTCCCCATGAAGTCTGCAAAAACTGGGAAGGGCTCCTGAACGTGACCTGGTACCTCCGCAGTTCCCACTGCCACCATGAAATTTATATAACTGTGAGCTGCTGATCTTCTCAGGGTGGATTTGGAGGGACGGGGTGGGGAGGGCTGGAAATCCCCCCACCCCAGGGGCTGGGCAGGAAGGAAGCCCCCTCTATCTGGGCCCACTTCAGAGAAGGTGGATGGGTTGAGGTTTTTGAGTGGGTGGGCTCTTAGCTCTTAGTAATTTCCCCTCTTTTTTTTTTCTTTCTTTCTTTCTTTCTTTCTTTCTTTCTTTCTTTCTTTCTTTCTTTCTTTCTTTCTTTCTTTCTTTCTTTCTTTCTTTCTTTCTTTCAGGACAATGAAGCTTTGACCTACTTGAGGAATCCTGACATTGAGGCCAGCGTCCCTGGAGATGGCCAGTACATCTGGAACTCCACCTTGGTTAAATGCGGCCAGTTTCACAAGGTGCGGATCCAGCCTGCAGGACTCTCCAGGGGTGGCCTTAAAGTGATTTGAAGACCAGGGTGTCCTCATTGTGGGAGGAGGGCACCCCGATGGGTGAACAAGTGGGGGGCTCCTGAGAGAAGAGAATATTTATAGCTCAGGGTTGAACTGTGGGGTCTTCGGTGCTCTCTGATCTTGGAGGTTTTCTTCCGGACATTTCACTACCAAACTAGATAACATCATCAGTGCTAGAAGGGAGGAGGGGGGGAGGAAGAGGAGGAAGACTGTGAGGTGCTTTGTGATGGTTTTTCTGCAGACGTTTCATGACCCAACTAGGTGGCATTATCAGTGCTGGTTAGGCTCCACCAATCAACATCTAGATAAGCAGGGATTAACATCAGACAAACAATAAAGCAGAAAACACCCTAGTCAAGGGGGAAAACACACTAACACGGGCAGGGCAAACAACTGAATATAAACAGAGGCCAACCCCCCCCTCCCTTCTACCACTGATGAAGTTACCTAGTTGGGTCATGAAATGTCTGCAAGGAAACCGCCAAGCTCAGAGAGCACCCAGGACCCCAAAGTGGGGAGCTCATAACTTAGTCCAGGTTGAGGGGGGAGGTGGAGCATTAGTTGGAAGGTCCCAACTAATAAAACTGTCTTTTCTCCTTTCTGTTTCAGTTGAGTGTCCAGGAACTCCCACATCCGAAAAAGTTGAAGCACCTGCCAGTTCAAAAGGTAACCAATAGGCAATGGTGGACAGGAAATTGATGGGAAGGGCACAACTTTGCTTTCAGTGCTGTTGTAACTTGAACGGTCACTAAATGGACTGTTGTAAGTTGAGGACCACCTGTATTTAAAAGAGCAAAAAAAAGGTTGTATATCTTCGCTTTAGGGGCTCTGAAATAGATGGGACATGGGGGTCCCCCCCCCTTCTTCGCTCTCCTGACTTCCGCTCCCCTCTTTTCTCTGCAGACTGCTGTGGGAAAGAGGGAGGCTCCCAAAGCAGCAGAAGACAAGGCAGACAAGAAGGAGAAGGGGTCCAGCCCCCCAAATCCAGATGCCCAGAAGCCCAGCGAGATCAAGGACACAAAGCTGTCTCCCTCGGCCGATGAGAAACCGACAGAAGACCCCAAGAAGAAAGTCAACGGGACCAAGATAAAGTTAGAGGTTGGTGGTCTCCATTCACCCGGGGCCTTTAGTCTCTGCTCAACCTTTCCCAACTGAAGACCATCCAGATGTGCCTTGATGGCAACTTCCAGAATTAATCCCTCCCTCCCTCTGTCCATCTTGTACAGCTGCCCATCTCCAGCCAGTAACTCTGAGTGGCGAGCAGTCATAAAAGCAATTCAGACAATGCCAAAAAAAGGAGAAATCCAATCCAATCCGCAGCCAAGAATGAACTTATTTACGTTTTCAATTTACCTGGTTTTTATCTTTTACCATTGTTAAGCTGCCCAGAGTTACCTTGAGGTAAATTAGGCAGCCAGTAAATTTTACAAATAAATTAAATTGAGCAGCCAAGAGATATTATAATTGGTTACTGTCAACATAACTAGGAAACGGGACCCTCACACAGACACACACCCAAGACCCCAGGCCCAGGCATACAGCCAGGTCTTCAAAGACTTCCGAGAGGGCAGCAGAGTTGGGGTCTTCCTGATCTCCGGAGGGAGGAGGTTCCAGAGGGCAGGGGCTGCGGCGGAGAAGGTCCGTCTCCTGGTGCACCACCGGCTGAGATTCCTTGGCCAAAGAGCATCCTGGGAGCTTCAGATCCAGAGCTCCAAGTTAGAGAAGGTTAAGGCTGTGGTTCTAGGCTTTGGAGCAGAGGTCATCTTCAGAGGTGGAGAGATGGTGAGGCTGTCTAGTGTTGGAAGTTGGTCTCTGGTGCTCTATAGCCTTCCCAACATCTACAGAAGGACCATTGAGATGGTCTACAAATGGAGGAAGATGGTATAGACCAGGGGTAGGCAACCTTGGCTCTTTTATGACTCGTGGACTTCAACTCCCAGAATTCCTGAGCCAGCATGGCTCAGCATGGAAACCTCTCCCTTTCCCCTCAGCATGGCTGGCTCAGGAATTCTGGAAGTCCACGAGTCATAAAAGAGCCAAGGTTGCCTACCCTGGTATAGACCACTCTATGGATCCCATTTCCTGCTGAGAAACTGACCAACTGCTGTCTCTGCTGCTGCTCTCTAGGCCTGGCTCTGAAGGGTGATGGGGAAGAAGGTGATCCATCCTGTGTTGCAAGCAGCTTCTCGATTTACCTGAAATATATATATATATATTTTGTCTCTGGTCTAGCCTGTCACAGTGGCTGAAACCTGGAAGGATGGCCCGTACGTCTTCATCCTCAGCATCACGAGCCCGTCGCCCAACTGGGACCTCTCGAGTAAGTGAAGGGTCCAGTTTTGATGGACCAAGCAAAAAAATACCTTCTGATTTAAGTTGACTTCACACGCAGAGAAGACTATTATATCCTCTTCGAAGGAGACTTCAGTTGGGGTGACGGGGGGCAAGGATGCTTCTTTTCCAACGGTTCTGTCCCTCCCACCCAATCTATTTTGGTCACGTGGTCTCCTGCCCAAGACTTTGAGGAGGCCACTGGACAAGAATGCCTCCAAGCCTTTCTTGAATCACCCTTGTCCTGGGAAAGGAGTGGTAGCTTTCAGAGGCCATGCTGGGGGACTGAGATACAGCTGCTCTGTTTTGAAGAGCGATCAGATGCCCACCAGTCTGGCAATCCAGGAAGGTTGGATTGGAGTTCCATCAGGGGCGTCTCACCTCCTGCTTCTTCTCCAGAAGTTGCTAGTCTTCCGTGAACTTTTTCACCCATGTCTTTTTCCCGTTCTGCCTTGTAGTTGACGTTCACATGAAACATCCTGAGTACGTATACATCTCTGCCTCGGAGTGGCCCCTCAAAGTGGTAAGTTGAAGACCCCGTTTTGTGGCTTGGGAGATGGATGAGCAGAGGGCATCCTTTCACCCCCCCCCCAATTTTTGCTCACCCTCCTGGGCCTTCTCCCTCCCCCAGTTCTACATGGTGATGTGCATCGTCTACGTGCTCTACGGCGTCTTGTGGCTGAGCCTGCTGGCCTGCTACTGGCGAGACATTCTGCGCATCCAGTTCTGGATCGGCGGCGTCATCCTGCTGGGCATGTTGGAGAAAGCCGTCTTCTACGCCGAATTCCAGAGCATCCAAAGCGAGGGAGAATCAGGTGGGTAGAGACCCCCCCGGTCCGCGGTGGGGTCAAACTGATGGCTCTTCCTGCTTGCTCAGCGCAGGACCCTCTGGGTGGACTAGTGGACTTCCTGTAATGTCCCGGAAAATAATTCCATTGTGAGTTTCCTATAACACTCATAAATTAATTCCAATGTCTTTTTGTTGGGCCTAGCAATTGTTTGGTCAAGCAACTTGGATGCTCATCTTAGTTTGCTTTTCTTTTTTTTTTAATAGATATTTTATTGATTTTTAACTATAACAATCTCCAGTGCCTGGTGTACAGTGTGTTGTCTCGGTTTATATTTTAACAAGAAAAAAAAGGACAGCAATAATTAATTAACAGTGATTAATGATTAAATGATTAAATTTTATAATTCCATAATTAATATATTAATTAAGGTACAAAACATTAAAATGTTAAATATTCAATAAACCAAAATATAAATAAGGTTTTTTTTTAAATGTATGGACTAATTGAAAAATGTCCACCCTTTGCACAGTGCTGGCCGGCTGTCCAGTCTCCCTCGCCATTTCAGAGTAGGATGGGCATGGTTGTTGATTGGGGAGGATGGGTGTTTGGGTCCTTTTCCTCCACGGGGCAGCCATTTGAGTAAGCAGGGGATCGGCTTCCGTCTGTCAGAAATGGTGTCGGGTCTCCTGCTTGGGCGGAGGGTTGGACTAGATGACCTACAAGGTCCCTTCCAACTCTGTTCTTCGAGTCTGTTCTGTGCCGAGGTTGGGCCCCGTTTCCTCCCTTCCAGGCCGGTCACCCTTCCTCTCTCTGTTCTTTTCTCCAGTTCAAGGGGCCGTGATTTTCGGGGAGGTCCTCTGCGCGGTGAAGCGGATGCTGGCCCGGGTCCTCGTCATTATCGCCAGCCTGGGATACGGCATTGTCAAGTGAGGAGGACGGAGGCACGAGGGAGGGAGGGACGCCCGGGGCACGGACGGAGGGCACGACAGCCGGCTGGGGGACTTTGGGGCAAAATGCTGTTTTGCAGCCTGACCCACCTCGCAGGCTCGTGGTTTGAGGGGGGGAACACGATCTCTCCCGCTTTGAGTCATGCAGAATAAAAGCAGCTTCTAAAACTTGTCATCTTCCCAGAGACCTTAAAACCTGTGTTGATTTTCACTTTTGTTGAATGACATGAACCAGGGTCAACCACCCCCGTAACAACACAAGGGAGATTGTGTTTGTCTTGGTCATAAACAGCCAGAGTTCAGCTTGATGGCAGGATTCGTTTGCTTGTTTATATCCTGGCTTGTTTTTATAAACGTATCAAGCAGTGAACATACTTAACACTCCTTCCTCCTCCTCTTTTCCCCACAACAACCCTGTGAGGTGGGTTGGGCTGAGAGAGTGACTGGCCCAAAGTCGCCCAGCTGGCTTTCGCGCCTAAGGCGGAACTAGAATTCATCATCACCTGGTGACTAGCCCAAAGTTGCCCAGTTGGCTTTCATGCTTACCCTCTCCTGGTCACCCAGCCGGCGCTCTTGCCTACGGCAGGACTAGAACTCCCAGTCTCCTGGTGATTGACCCAAAGTCACTCAGCAGGCTTTCATGCCTAGCGTAGAACTAAAACTCCCAATCTCCTGGTCGTCGGCGCAAAGTCACCCAGCCGGCTTTCATGCCTGAGGCAGAACTAGAATTTACAGTCTCCTGGTCCTCGGCTTAAGACCTAACTACAATAATGCTCCCCCCCTGCTCCAAAATCTTGACCCCCATTGTGATGCCCACGGCTTCTCTCTCGCAGGCCGCGGCTGGGCGCCCTCCTGAACCGTGTGGTTGGCGTCGGGCTGATGTACCTGGTCTTCTCCATCATCGAAGGCGTGCTGCGGGTGAAATCCGTAAGGGGAGGGACTCGGGGGCAAGGGGGGTGGGCCGGGGGGGCTGGGAGGGAGCCCTGCGGCCGGGTGGGCCAGGGTCTGCTCTCTCAGCCTCTGATTGTTCCCCCACCCCAGGAACAAGCTAACATAGTCACCCTTTCCTGTGAGATATTTCTTGCTTTTGTGGACTCCTGTATCGTCTGGTGGATATCCTTTGCCCAAAATGGCTGCCCCGCTCCTCTTTCTTGCTTTCAGGGTGTCCAGCGGGGGGGGGGGGTTGCATAGCCATGTGACCCCGTTGGGCACTCTGCAACTGGCCTCACTTTACGTCCATTTGCAGCATTCCACGGGGTCAGGCAACTCCCATTTTACGACAGTTTTGCTTTAAGCCAGCCTTCTGATTTTTGGCCAAAACGGCCCATTGTGTTCACTTTATGGTCATCATAAAAGTTGCAACAATGGGTCAGTCCTGTGACTGACCTGCTTTACGACCATCCTGGTTATAAGCTGAGGACTAACTGTAAGCGGGCTCAAATCTCACGTGTGGGTTTGAAAGCCGCCATCTAACTCTTTTCTTTCCTCGGTCTTCCGATCCTTTCCCCGTAACCCACTGACCTTTGCGGACCGGTCATCCCCACCCTGTGTCGTCCCCTGTTGCTTTCTCTCCTCGTTCTTCCTCTCCGTCACGTTTTTTTTTTCCTCCTTCTCTCCTTTCTCTCGTTTTATCCCAGGCTCAGGATGATTTGGTGCTGCTAGCAGCCATTCCCCTTGCTCTGCTTGACTCTGCTCTCTGCTGGTGGATATCCTCTGTGGTCCCGGCTTGCCGGAGGGGGGGGGGTCAGGTGGGGGGGCTCTGGGTCCCAGCCCTGCCGCCTCCTCCTCCCCTCCTCCCCAAACAGTTGGTCAACCTGTGGGCTTTCGAAAGAGAAGAGGTGGCCCAGGCGATAGGAGGCTCTGCTCATCTTGAGGGGGCTTCAGACTGGGGGTTGGAGGGCTTTGTTGAGTTCTCTTGATCCCTTGATGGGGCTTGGAGTCCTGGTGAATGATCCCTTAAACATGAGCCAGCCTTGTGCGGCAGCAGCCCAAAAAGCTAATACAATCCTTAGTTGCATAAACAGAGGCATGGAATCCAAATCACGTGAAGTGTTAGAACCGCTTTGTAAAGCCTTAGTAAGGCCACACCTGGACTACGGCATCCAGTTTTGGTCCCCACATTACAAAACAGATGTTGAGGCTTTGGGGAAAGCGCAGAGAAGAGCAACTAAGATGGTTAAAGGCCTGGAGACTAAAACACACGAAGAACGGCTGCAGGATTTGGCTAGTAGTCTAAAGAAAATAAGAAATGGGGGAGACATGATAGCAGCATTCCAGTATTTGAGGGGCTGCCACAAAGACTTCAACTCCCAGAATGCCATGGTATGCTAGCTCAGGAATTCTGGGAGTTGAAGTCCACAGGTCATAAAGGGGCCATAGTTCCCCA